GTAGGCAGAGAGAGAGAAGAGGACAACAAACGAGGGGCTGTGACAAACTGTTTCGTCGGAGTTTCACCGACTCATCAGTATATATATATATATATATATATATATATCGTCACAAATATATATATATATATATACCGGGCAGTTCTGTTTGTGACGATATATATAAAAGAAAAAAAAAAAGAGATGGTGCTGCTATCTGTGGCTCACTACATCTCGTAGCACCTAAAATGTTTGGTTCTCAGCATCCTATAGGCTTTGCTTTCGCAGGTGAAGGGCTGCCTGCTTATGCGGCCATTATTGTCTAGGGAGTCCTCGACCTGCAAATCATTCACTGTCAACATTTTCGGGTATACATGCAAATTTGCACTGGGACGGGGTATCGCGGGTATTCCCATCTTTTCCTTTTTTTTTTTAAATAAGTTCCAGTCTCGGTCTACTATTTATTCCCGCCTTTTTTTTTTTTTTTTTTGGAGAAAAGAACAATCCATTGCAGATGAGAGACAGGGGCCCGGGAATACGCCCCTACAGATCAACCCGGTGAGAACAGAACAGAACTGGGGCCATTACCCAGATTGGCTCCTGGAAACCGGGTCCAGTGTCCCCTGTCTTTTCTGCTGACGGTGGCAAAGGCACTCCTTTTTTTCCTTTTCTTTTGTGTTCAAGAAAAGTGAATAATGGCTCTCGCCGGGCAAAATGGAGAACACATCTTCAGAAAAATCGGTACACCCACGGGGGCGAGGTCCCACTAGCAAATAGGACTGGATTAAGATCCTGAATCTGGATGTGTTTTGCACACAGATGCAGAAAAGCAGTTCAAAATCAGTCTCTATTTTCTGCACCTTTCCACTATTACCTCCATATCCAGGCCTTCAATCCAACCCTCTTTGCTACGGTAGTAAGACCTCGCGCCTGTTGAAATAAACACCCGAGTTCGAATCCAGCTGGGGAGCTACAATAATGAATAATGAAATAATACTTATGGGCCTCGCCACGTAAAACAGCGAGTGTATTTTCCGCTACAATGTGGCAAGATACACCCGCCATAGGTTTTGTCTTTTCTACTTTTGGTGAGTGGTGCCGCGAGGACCTCAAAGTTCCACCGTCCCATCAAACTGAATTTCTTCTTCTTTTCTTCTTTTTTGGGGGGGAGAACAGGGCTGCATTCCACCGTACTCCATCAGGGCATTCTAAGCCCTTTCGTGGACGTACCTGACCTCAAATTCCGATTCAATTCTTTCAAGTTCAGTGCATCAAGATTGATGGTCTTGTCAACGAAGCCGTACCCGATGGAACACGTGCCCGTTTTTCTTTTTTTCCTCCTTTCTGGTAAGACTAACCAATTGCCAATTATTGAATCTTTTACATTTGACTCGATCCAGACTAACCACGAGACATGAGACAGGTGAATTGATACAAGCACTACCGTCTTCCCGCAAGTCGCACGCACAGTCATCATGAATGTATACAAGCTACTTTTCCCATTGGATACAGTCACGATGACCATGCGTTCTATTTGGGGACGACGGTAGTGTGTGGCTGCGAGAGAGAGAGAGAGAGAGAGAGAGAGAGAGAGAGAGAGAGAGAGAGAGAGAGAGAGAGAGAGAGAGAGAGAGAGAGAGAGAGAAAGCGCGAGCGAGAGAGAGAGAGAGAGAGAGAGCGAGAGAAAGCGCGAGCGAGCGAACGAGAGAGAGAGAGAGAGAGAGAGAGAGAGAGAGAGAGAGAGAGAGAGAGCATAAACACAAAATGCCGAGAATTACTAGTTCTTGAGCGGTTCCGTTTTCTCTGTGGAATGCCTAATGTCATCCGAAGTTTTTTTTCTTTTTTTCTTTTTTTAAGAATGAGTAGAAAAGAGAAGAATGAGAATCAAAGGGGAAAAAACGACCAAAAAAAAGAAAAGAGGAAGAAGAAGAAGAAGAAGAAGAAGAAGAAGGGGAAACTGAGCTGCGGAATCGATGTCTGTGGATTGGCAACATCAATGTTTGGCAGAGCCTTCCTCCCTCCCCCTCCCCCTCCCCCCCCACACCACCCACCACACACACACTCGAAAAAAATAAATAAAAAAAATCGGCAAATTGGCAGAGCGCTCGCTTCGTATTATTCCGCTTTAGTCTGCCTCCCAGATGACGTTCATCTCAAATGACTAAGGCTTTTCCCCCGAATGCAACGCACCCTGCCATCTAATCGATACGGTGCCGGGGCAAACAGCTTGTGTAGCATTGCGGGAGGGATCCAGTCGGCCTCATTTTCGGGACAACATAAACGTGTCCACGGGGAAGAGAGAGAGAGGAGGGAGGAGGGAGGAGGGGGGAGAGGGGGGGGCGTGCTCCGTCGTGAAATGTAGCATTGCGGGAAGGATCCTGTCGACTGCAGTTCCATGACAACGTACTCGTCTCCAGAGACGCAGAGAGAGAGAGAGAGAGAGAGAGAGAGAGAGAGAGAGAGAGAGAGAGAGAGAGAGAGAGAGAGAGAGAGAGAGAGAGAGAGAGAG